GCATTTCAGTCAGATTCTTTACAGCCTGAGCCACCAGGAAGGCCCCATGTTACTTATGGAAAGTATATTTATTCTCTAATACGAGATGTTTTTAAATGTATTAATAGAGTTCACTAAAAGTAAAACAAACTAATATTCTTATTTTTATGAATGATGGTATTATGGATTTTTGATAAGTACCCAAAAACAAGATGTAGCATACCATAGTATGCTATTAATTGAGTCACATTATGCTTAAAACTATAGTGGACTTTGATCCTTGAAGAGGTATAAAGTAAGATTCCTGTCTTTGCTAGACTTCCAGTCTAGTTGGGTTCTTTCCAGTATTGTACCCTATCCTTGTGGGTTAAGTCTAGGAGGAAACTGCAGACAATCAGCCTTTCCCGGGGACAACTAGCAGTCCTGTGGTGCAGTCCATTGGGCCTGCTTCAATCAGTTCTCATGTGTACGAGGTGGCATAAGAGTAAATCATAATTTTAACTTGGTTCAAAATTATGTAAATTTATAGTTACTATTAGTGAAATCCTGCCACCCAAATCTAATCATTGCAAGCAGTGAGAGCTCAATTAGTATATTATTTGTTATATTAAATAACATCTGACTTCTCTACAGCATCAGAAATCTTTTGTATATGTAGTTACTATTGCAAATCTGAAAATAAAAGCTTTTGCCTCAAATAGTTCAAGGAAATTTTTCTAAGTGTAACAGGTGGTTGTGGACAGAAGTAGTATGGACTGAAGTCAACAGTCATTATGATCAGGACTTTCTGATCTTTCTCCCTGTCACCCAACCCCACCTTCCACCTTCTAAACAGCTGTGAAGGGAAGTGTTTAATGGCCCAGAGAAGAGAGGAGGGGTAGATGGTGTGCTAGTGACATGTTCAGACAGTAGTTGAGTTGAATTGCCAAAGCTAAAGAATTGAAAAACTTCAAACTGCACGTAATATAATGGCAATATGGGCAAGAAAATGAAGTTCACCTTCGAGAGGGAGGAAGAGATTTAGTGCATCTGGAGGAAAATAATTAGAATCCCAGATAATCAATTGCAGAGCACTGCCAGGAAGTGTTGTTGAAAGAGCCCAGGGATAATTATAAACGAGCCTCCGTGTTCGAAGGCGACGCTAAAGGCTGAGTAACTCAACACTGACAACACTGGGTACTGCCTCATGATGCACGAGGTCCCGTCTCCCTTGAAGCCAAGAGTGATGGGTGAGGACACATTTGGAATAGTGAGTACATTTTTTACACCCCATTAACACAAAGACACGGAAAACCTGGAGGGAGTTCTGAAGCGAATAACAGGGACTATTAAGAGACTTAAAGGAATTGTTTATAAGGGGAGGATTAAGGGAAAGGGAGATAGCCATGGCAATGGGTAGAAAACAGTCCTAAATAACCTAAAGAGTAAAACAATGAGGAAAGGGCAGGAATGACTTGGCCTGGCTTCCTTGAGAGGGGGAAAAAAAGAACAGAGAACAAAACTAAAAGTAGCAAGAAAAAAAATCTAAAAAACTAATTAAGCAAGAAAATGTCAGCCAATTGGGAGAGAATTTGTTCCTACAAAAATGAATCAGATTAGGGAAGAAAACTGTGTAACCTCTCCCGCGATGTTTTCAGATGCACAAGGGCAGAACTCTAGAACAGAATTTCCTTGCACTTCAGCAGGGTAAGTTATTTAAATCAGAACCCAGAGTTGAAAGGCTAATGATCATGGTGATGGTAATCATAATACTGGGGCTACCCAGGTAGCTCAATGGTAAAGAATCTGCCTGCCAATGCAGGAGAACTGGGTTCCATCCCTGAGTCAGGAGGATTCCCCTGGAGGAGGAAAGGGCAACCCACTCCAGTATTCTTGCCTGGGGAATTCCACGGACAGAGAGGCCTAGCCAGCTACAGTCCTGTAGCTGAGATCAAAAAGAGTTGGACACGACTTAGCGACTAAACAACAGACAAAAATCATAACGTTGGGTTGGCCAAAAGGTTCATAAGATGTAGAAAAACCTGAACAAACTTTTTGGCCAACCCCGTACCAGCAGTGGCAGCACTTAATAAGCCCTCATTATGTGCCAGGTACTGTTTTCAGTGCTTTACATATGTATTAATTCATCTTCATCCTCACAGTATCCCTTCCACTATTATCATCATCATCTTCCTGGTTTTCCAAGAAGAGAATTAGAAGTAGAGAGAGGTTAAGTAAGTCACCTCTGGACCTGTAATTAGAAAGTAACAGAGCCAGGATTTGAACCCAGGCAGCCTGGCCCCAGGCTTTATATTCCTAACCACTATGATCTTTTATAAAAAGAGGGAAAAGTGGGAAAAAACCCTGAGGATGAGGAGCAGGCCAGGGGAAAGAGCTGGGCTCTGGGTTATCAAGTGAAAGGCTTCTGGAAATAGTCCCATTCTGAAGTCATGCTGGTGGGGTGTGGCCTTGGTCTGCTGCCTGGGACTCTTAAGTCCCATTGCATTTTGTCAGAAAGGAAAATTATCTGTGGTTCAGTGTGAGAAGGTGGTTAGTCTCTGAAGATGAGAACATCTCATTGGAAGAATTCCTACAGCTCATAGGAGGTTCAGAGGGAACTCCTGAGTCACAGCTGACGCGAGACCCTCTGACACTTTGTTCCATGCCTGTCTTGAGGGGCCCTGGCGGAACCCTCAAGCTGTGGATGTTTGACTAAGGGACCATCTGATTGATTCAGTCATTTGCAGATTCAGTGTATAAACATTCATTCAGCAAGTAAACAAACATTGCTGTTTGTTGAGTCAGCTTAAGTCAGACTTGAGTCAACTCTTCAAAGAAAATAAATCCAAAGAGAAGTACCAGCTTTTGCACCTCTGAAGCTCTACTCTGAAAATATTTTGACCAAATTAGCTTTTTTGAAAAATCATAACTCAATTGAAAACACAAAATTTAACAAATCCAGAACTTACAGAGTTCCCAGAATATGTGGGGTCCATGAACTCCAGTTCAAGAAACAAAATTAATAGAGCCCCTAGACTACATGCTAGGATGGGAGGAGAGTGCACACAGATGAAATAAAAGCAGTGTTTGTCTGAGAAAAACCTTACAGTATAAGGGATACTGGCTTCCCCAGTGGCTTAGCAGTAAATAATCTGCCTGCATTGTGAGCTGGGAAGATCCCCTGGAGGAGGAAATGGCACCCCCCTGCAGTATTCTTGCCTGGGAAATCCTATGGACAGAGCAGCCTGGTGAGCTACAATCCAGGGGGTCACCAAAGATTCAGACTTGACTTAGTGACTAAACAACAACATAAGGGAGATTAGGCTTATACATGAACATAACTGTTCCACAAGGAAGGATGAGACTGTGATATCGAGCCACAGAGATAAAATCCTGTGGAATCAGTGCAAAGACTGGGAGTGAAATGGCATCTGTTCTGGCCTGATTCATAGAGAGGGAGACCAAGAGAACAGCACAGGCAAAGAAGGAGAGGTGGAGACCAGAACACCTAGAGGCAACACCGTTGCTGGAGAGAGGTACGCATCACAGAGATGTGCAAGGTGGGGTTGGAAAGAGAGGGATCTTGTCCAGACAAAAGGAAGGCCTTGGATGGCAAGCTGTTAAATTCACCCTGATTCTTCATCCAAGATTGCAAGAAGGAGGTATCACCTGAGTTGGTCTTCAGGAAGCTGATGGTGAGACTGGAAAGACCCTGGAGCATGCATAGGAGAGATGGTCAGGAATCTGTGGACCCCCAGGAGGGGTGTCAAGTCAGAGAAAGAGTGAGAGGTCCCAGAGCTCTGACCCACTTAGAGCCTACAGGCAGCAGCTGCTGCAAAGCAAGGTGAGCAAAGGGGTAGGTGAGGCAGGGAAAGTGCTGGGTGGCCATGCCTGGTGAGTGATGATGCCACTCTGAGAATTAAAGGCTTTCTAAAGAAGTACATGTGCAAGGGAAAGTTACTTATTCCATTCTGGACGATTGCATTAGGAGCAAGAAAAACATTCAGATGGAGATATTCTACTGGTGGTTATATATCAAAGATGAAAACAAGCTAAATAGAGATTCCGTAAAGACCCAGGAATGAAATATGTTGGATAAGTTTGAGACTCAGAAACATGTGCTTTAAGAGCAATACCAGTAAAGTGCCTGAATTCCAGAATCTGTTTTCATCATTCCGAGACAGTCATCCAAGAACTTTCTTCATGTATGTAAGTAGAGGCATCTATAATAAAGCCAGAAAGTGGGTTTGACACGGAAGGCATCTGGTTGAGCAGTGGTGTTTTTGTGGCACGTATGTCAATACTTCTATTTTACTGTAATTCTATGAAAATTAGTCATCAAGGTTGTAACCCAATGTTGCTAGAATTTTTGATTATCAGTAATAAGCACACATTTGTAAAATATACACAATGCAAACAAGATGACATGCATGTGACATAAAGGCGCTAACCACATCCCATAGAAACTGAGTTTACGAAGGTTCTTTAACTAGGAAAATACGTACTGTCCTGATAGCCAAAAACAAAGACAAGTTTTTCAATAATATTTTTGTAATTCAAAACTTTCAAGCGATATGTTGGAAAACTTACCCCAAAGACAACTTTCAGTACTCCACATCTCACACCAGCTACTTCTCTCATTATTATATAAACTTAACAAAAAAGATTCATTCTGCTTTTATCCTGGAAGGACCACAAAAAATACATGCATTCAAAGTATCATGAACCTGATGGTGATTTTATTAAACTATACTATATTTATATAAACTATCCATGTACCTAGGCACTATTCTTATTTATTCAAAAGGAAAATGTATGTGGGTCACTTTACCAAAGAATCAGAGTATTATTCAAAAGGAAAATGTATGTGGGTCACTTTACCAAAGAATCAGAGTATTACGTGAATGTTACCTTGGCATCCACTGCTACCTAGGTTAACTTTTGTTTCACTGTCTTTCTTTCAAAACATAATTTCATGTCAATGCATTTAGTTATGACTGATCATTTCATATGAGAAAATAATCCTTCTTTCCCCCTTACAGCCTTTTTTGGAAAATACCTCAACGAATATAATGGCAGCTACATCCCTCCTGGGTGGCGAGAATGGCTTGGATTAATCAAGAATTCTCGTTTCTATAATTACACTGTTTGTCGCAATGGCATCAAAGAAAAGCATGGATTTGATTATGCGAAGGTAATTTTCAGGCACTTTTACACTGCATCAATTTACTTCATGCATAATGGGAGAAAATAATTTTCAGTATGTTAGCCTATCCACGAGATTGGCTATGTTCTCAGAGTTTTAGAATGAGAAATTTTAAGATAATTTTAAACTCCAGGCAAGAAAAAGGCTCTCAGGGAACACTGACTTTGAATAGTGGGTTTTTTTCTCCCCTTCATTAGGATGAAAGGCAATCAGCCTTTGATGAAAGTATTATCAAAAAAATCATGGATGCCTCCACTCTGTCTTGTGATAATTCTTGGTTTTCCCCCTTCTAGAAGACTTGCCCACATAATCAGATGTTCATCTTGTACTGTTTGCTTTTCATTAGGGTGAGAGTATATTCTGTCTGTGGCTTCAGATTTAGATAGAAGAATAAGAAAAGACAAGTGCAAAACTCAAAAGTTGGGAAACCACATTCTTTGCTTTTACCACATTTTGATATTGACAAGGACACCTGCCCATGGCAGCTAGAGTCCACAAAAGTCTGTAAGGCAGTCAGTCCTAGTATTTCCAAATCAGTTCATAGAAACTGGAGTGCACAGGTCCCAGAGTTCTCTAACAAATGGATCCCAGATTAGACTTTTTAAAATCCACACAGCTTTTGTGATTGCCAACTTAAAACGATTTCCAGATCACAGGAGTGGAAGGGGAAACATCTTTAAATTTAGCCTGCTAATTAGCCTGAAATACCCTCTTCCCTCCTAACCATGTCCATCTCTTCCTCATTTATCTAAAAGAAGCTGAGAATCTGCTCCAACTATCTAGATCTCTGTGAAAAAGACATTGGTAGAAATCAGAAAGAGGGGAGTTGATCTAATTTTGGCACATCGCTATTCTTATGCTTGGCCTGATTTGAGCTCAAGGGACTTGGCGGGGGAGATAAAGTGTAAGTCTCCTTTCATACCCTCCAGAAAACAAGGCATGCAAATGAATTCACAAACATTGCTAATAGGTTTCCAGACTCATCAGAGTTGAGAGTTGGCAGAAACCTTGGAGGCAGGTTTGAGCAGTGCCCTACAAAGTGCACTAATTGTCACTGCTCCCATTTTTATCTGTGGGGATACTTGTCATGCTCCTTGTTCAAGCTATTAACCTTTCTTTCCCTGTTGTCCTAAGGAGAGCAAAGTAATCAAGATTCCCTCCAAAGACTAAATCAGCGTATCTTGCCCATTATCACAGCTGATTAAGTGTCAAAGACAACTGTGTCGAAAAGAATATAGATTTTTTTTTTTTTTTTTTTTTTTTTTAGAGAGAGGAAAGGAATGAAACAGACACTTCCATGAAAGGAGGTGATAGCCTGTGGGCTTGTCCTAAGAAGGACATGTGACATAGGCTTGGTCCCTTGGGCAAGGCTTTTGCAGCTGTTCTAGTCCTTGAATCTACATGCGATTAGTCATGCCTAGAAGCCTCTGACAGTGCACATTGCCTGAGCGCTTTCTGAATAAACTTTATACTGGAGTTCCAGGCCAATGTTACACACTTAGAGGAAGCAGGTGTTTTCAGTTTTCATCTTTTCTTTTTCATTCCATCTCTTCCCCCGCTTCTCCTTATAGTCTTGCATCAGCCCCTTGGATTATAGATTAAATTGTTCTCTTAACAAGTCAGGCTGTAATCCCAACAGCTGGATCATTTTAGTTGTGCAATTAACAGGGTATAATCTGCAGGAAATCAACTGCTCCCCATATTGAGTGTTTCAGATAAACTAATTCATAGAATGTTGCCCCTTTTCCCTGTGCATCCAGATTTTGGTCGTGACTTTCATTGCAATCATTGTGTAATTCTCACAGGTGAATTTTTAATTTCACGAAAAGATCTTGTGTGTGCATGCATTTATGCGTGTATGTGTGTATGCATGTGCATGTCTGTGTGTGTGTGCCTGCAACTGTGAATTTGTAGTGGGCGTGCGTATTTCCTGCCCTTGAAGCAATTAAATTTTTTTGTCAACGAATTACATCAGCGAAACCTGAGAATGAAATATGTATCCGGTGTTTCATGTCCTATAGCATTTGTATTGCCAGATCTGATCATTATCTTGGGCAAACAGTACTTGACTTTTTATTTTTTTTCCCCTAATTCTGAAATTGTCCATTACTTTAAAAAAGATGTTTGTGTGTGTTACTATGCTAGCAACCATAGAAAGTAATTGGCAACTGATCTCTGTTTCCAAAAGATGTTTTTCTCCTTGGGAAGTACAGTTTCTCTTCCTGCTTAAGATCTTACCTCCTCATTCAGTGAGTTGCTTCTGAGGGAAAACAGTATTCAAATGTGATCTGATGAATGTCACGTTTTGTAATTTTTGTTTTGTGTCAAATGTATGTTTCAGGACTACTTCACAGACTTAATCACTAACGAGAGCATTAATTACTTCAAAATGTCTAAGAGAATGTATCCCCATAGGCCCATTATGATGGTGATCAGCCACGCGGCGCCCCACGGCCCCGAGGACTCCGCCCCACAGTTTTCAGAACTGTACCCCAATGCTTCCCAACACATGTGAGTAACAGCCTCAGCTCTGGGACCTGCTGAGATCGAGCCTCTCCTTTGCTCCCCACCCGGCTCCTCCCCTGCACCCCATTTCTTTCCACGCGGTATCTCCACAGGGCAGGAATAGGGCTTCTGCCCCGAGACCACAGAGCAGGCAGGCCCTGAACTCAGGGGCTTGCTGAGGTGGTTTGATTACGAATCATGTCTCCAACATCGTTAGTGACTGACCAACAACAAGAACAACAAAATGAACAGAGAGAGAAGCACATGGGGTGACTGGGGGGTGATTTTGATCAAGGGCTTCCTTCAGTTGTCTGAAATAGTATTCATCAATGTGATCTAATAATAATAATGATCAAATGGTATGTTTCTTTTAGCAGCAGAGTGGTGGTGACCCCCCAAGTCTGGTTATAGAGACCTGGGTGAATTTCCTGGGCTCGGGCTGTCGCAGCTTTGCCACAGATGTCTGATTAGAATTGCTGCAGAGGCAGCTGCAGAGGGCTTGCCCGAGAGGCCGTCTCAGGGCATGGCTTTAAAATAACCTGATGCTTCTTTCTGAGAGGCAGGAGCCTGGGGGAGGGGGTTGGGAGGCCCAGAGGAGAGGCCAATGGCATACGGAGATGAGACAGAGAGCAGAGAGCTGTATTAAGCTGACCATCCTCACGAGACGAGTGTAGTAAGTCTGGATACTTAGGCAGCGAAGAACGTAATTTTGTTTTTCCACTCCTTCCTCACTCTTTCTTCTTATCCATTGCAATGATGTGCAGTCCTCCACACACAGCAGTGGACTGAAAGTTTAACCATGAGAAGGGTAGGAAACAGGCAACTGATACATTTCCTTCATCACTAAACCTCCAGTATTCATTCTTATTCTATTTGTGCTTAAATATTATCCCTCTTCAGCCACACTGATTTTAAAGCTATGATCCCAGATGGGGAAAAAAATAAAGATTAAATGTACTTCCTTATAGAAAGAGATAAGTAACTTCCTTATCAAAAGTTATAAGTAACTATGGAAGACATTCTAGTTGCTGGCATAACATATCCCTGGAAAACTTATTCTTTTTTTTTTTTATTATAACTAATAAACTTATGGCTCCTCATCAGTGGTACTTAGACTTTCTCTATCATATCAAGTGACTTAGAAAGAAGGAAAGACGGGAACTAACAATTCATAAATGAAGCCAGGTGAGTGTCCTACTGAGCATGCCCAGGAATTTGGAGGATGGACATGTTTTGATGCATAAGATATTGTCGACAAAGAAAGCTGCCCCAGCAACTGAGGCATAGGGTCTGGATGATCCATTGTGTTTTGGAATGAACCCTGTGGATGAATATTCAAGACTCTCTACCCTACATATAATTATGCAGCTAAATTCATGAATGAAGCCCACCAGGGGCTAGTGACTCTCCATTAGCCATCACTTGCAGATTCAGTAACCTGCTGGTTCAGTAAAAGAAATAGGTCTTTGCAGACTTCTTCCATGCCCTGGGACTCACCTTTCCCTTTTCTTTGAGTCAGAAATTGCTTTCTTTGTTGCATTAGCAGAATCCCAGCCTAAGGTGATTTTCCACGACTATAAACCTCACTGCTGTTTTCCCGGGAGTTTGAGGACAAGGAGTTGACAAAAATGTTTTATGGCTCCTTAGAAGTCAGCTTGCCTTTGAAGCTTCAGGGCAAGGTCCTGAGCCTACAGGAAAATCAGCCACAGGTCAAAAGGTTCTGACAGCTCAGCAGTGTGCACAGACAGCAATGCAGGATGAGAGAAATCTGCAGAGTTCTCGGGGCTTCAACAATAGCTTTAAAAAAAAAAAAAGAAAAAGCATCTCTGATTAAATTCTGTTTCATTCCACAAATATTTATGAGTGCCACCTTTAACACTGTACAGCACAGCAGGGATATAGGCACAAGGAAGACACAATTGCTAGGACTTCCCTGGTGGTCCAGTGGCTAACCCCCAATGCAGGGGGCCTAGGTTCAATCCCTGGTCAGGGAACTAGATCCAGCATGCCACAACTAAGACTTCCTGGTGCAGTCAAATAAACATAAAATAATCTTCATTTTTTAAAAAAGAGACACAATTGCTCATTCTAGAACCAATGAACTGGGACAGAGGTCAGCACATGGGGGCCATCTCTGACTTGCCACCAGTTTTAATAAATAAAGTTTTATTGAAACACAGTCATGCTCATTCATTTAGGTATTATCTATGCCTGCTTTTGCAATACAGCAGTGGAATTGGGTAGCTGTGGCAGATGCTATTCGGCCTGCAGTGCCTAAACTATTTACTGTATGATTCTTTACAGAATAAGTTTGTTCTGGGCTCTTGCTCAAGGAGGAAGAGAGACAAAGAGCCGTATCTAAGAGCCTTGTCAACAGCAGGCTCAGAAGCAAGTGATAGAGCAGGGAGCCCAGGGTCTGTGAAAGTTTGGAGGAGGAAGCATGCACATCTTTTAGAAGAACCAGGGGAACTTCAGGGCCAAGGAGGCAGGCAAAGTGGACTGCAAAGGATGGGCACCATTTCTGCAGCTGATAGGCAGAGATTGGATAGATGATTTCAGGAAAAGTGGTCGCCATGGGGCCATCTAAGATGTGACTAAGGAAGTGAGGAAAGCAGTAAGGGATGAAGCTAGAGAGAGAAACCTGCAGGGTATTGAGAACTTGAGTGAATTTGTACGTAGCTGTAAACAGTCCCTGGAGACTGTTTAGTCAAGGTAGACATCATATGTGACTTGACCATTTTTGTATGCAGTTTTCGCTATTCCTTTTTAGTTCAGATGAACCGCCTGTGTGCCCTACTGTGCTCAGGGCTCAGTCGTGTCCAACTGTTTGCAGTCCCGTGGACTGTACCCCACCAGGCTCCTCTGTCCATGGAATTTTTCAGGCAAGAATACAGGAGTGGGTCGCCTGTTCCTTCTCCAGGATATCTTCCCGACCCAGGGATCAAACCTGTGTCTCTCGCGTCTCCTGCATTGGCAGGTGGATTCTTTACCACTAGTGTCACCCTGGGAAGCCCTGTGAGCCTTACTAGTGATTCTATAAAGCTGAATCCACACATTGGCAGAGTGAAAAGCTCTCAGGCCTTGGAGGCAAATAAGCACTGGTTCCTATCTCAGTGGTCCTTGCTGACCTGTAGGCAGTACCTTTCACCTCTCAGAACCTTCATTGACTCATCGGTAAAATGGGGGTAATAGCCAGCAACTTGGCATGATGTCGTGAGTGACAATTAAAAGAGACCCCACCCTGGACCTGGAACACAGAAGCCACTTCATAGGTGCTAATTCTCCATGATCCTTCCTATTAAGATGAACCATTAAAAAAAAAAAAACACTTTTTTCTGGATTTGATCTTTCTTGACCTACAAAAAGGTGCTGTTTTGTTTGATTTCAACTTAACATTCAAGGGGAAGCAGCTAGGGAAAGAACAAGCTGATTCTTGTCCATTGTGACCTGACAAGTCTGTCGACGAGCTAAGACCTGCATTGATGAGGCTCTCATCCTGCCTATTCTAAAAACAGACAGGAGAAGCACTGGCCTGGGCTGTGTTATCTTTGCCAGGTGCAAACCGTGCTATTGGCAGTTTGAAGAACACCCTTAGCCATAGAAAATGAAAACTCACACAGTGGGTTGAGTGATTCAGCTTCTATTTGCTGCTAAGCCCAGGGCTTTGGAGCCCCTAGAATGAGGAGATGCGCTGTGTCTCCCACAGACCCTGAAAGCCTTGAATTCCGGGCATCTTTGTCGTCAGGGTCTCCCTAGCTGCCGCAGGAGGAAAGGGCTGGAGAGAGTCCATGTGCATCTCTCTTGGAGCTGTGAGTGACTGCCCGGGTTCACAGTTCAGGCTGCACACAAAAGGAGTGAGACAAATTGAAGACAAGCTTTCCATTGTGGCGCTTGGACCTCCTGAATGGCTAGTCTCCTTAGCGAGAACATGAGCAAGGCATTCAAGCAAAGGGATGCAAGAAGTTAAGTGCTTTGCAGAGATGTTTGGCAGGCCCTGTGAAAACAGCAAGAAGCTGTAGGATCTGCCCTGTCGGAGGCCGGGGAGGGGGATGCAAGCCATGTGAGCACTTTCCTTGAGGTTGCCTTCCTTGGTGGTCAAGCATTATCCAGATGTCTTTCATCCGCCTTGGGTTAGAGCTATCTGACCCCCACTGCCTGGAGCGAATGTATCAGGTTTCCATGGTGTTTGTCGTGGCCAACAAAGAAAGGAAGCCAGTTCAATATTGAGGCTAGAGGTTATGCCAACCAACTAAGAAAGAGAACGGACTACCGACCACATTGAACAGGGGACCCTGTTTAATCAGACAGAGGCTCAGCCACTCCTGGCCTCAGAGATCTGAGGGACTCTCCATCATGATAATACATATAATCATTCTTATCACAAAGCCCTTCACTATGACTAAGACTCTACTGCACTTTCCAGTAAATTCTCTCCCCCATATCCTTGTAATAATGCTAAAGCCTCATCTTCTTGGCATCATTTCTCTCTCCTGGCCTCAGTGATGTGGACAAAAGCTGATGAGAAAAGAGATTACATTTGCCTTCTTGATGATTCTCTGAGATGCTGAGGCTCCCTTGACAGTTTTCCACCAACTGTGCCTCCATGAACTTAAAGAAAAATTTTATTCCAGTTCAACAGCTCTTTCTTTCTATCCCTGGAAATGCATTTGACTCTGTACACACACATACACACACACACACACAGGTTCATTTGAAATAAAAATTTAGGTAGAACAATCCACATCAACTAACTTGCAGAAATTGCTCTGATCATGGAGTTTGGGATGGACACAGCATGTCAAAGGGACAACTACCCTAAGGAAGCCTCTGAACATTTCTGAAATACCTTTGTTATCTAAAGTTGAAAAGAAAGGACTTCCCTGGCAACCCAGTGGTTAAGACCCCATGCTTCCATTTCAGAAGGTGCACGTTCGATCCCTGGTCAGGGAAATAAGATCCCACATGCTGAGTCGTGCAGCCAATTAAATTAATTCAAGTTCGAAAGA